GTGTATAGAAATGGAATTGAACTCATAAGTTCCCCATCATTTTCAGTAGCTTAGGGCCCCACCGAGCTTAAATCCGGCCCTGATGTGCATGAACCGCATTTAATAAGAATGGTCTTGTAACATGCCATTACGATTTTCATCCTCCGGGAATGGTTCCCCCGCTTTGGTAGTCTGACCATCTGCTTAGCGAAGTCAAAGCACTTTCCAATAATAAAGTAATTAATGAAATAACGGCTGAACGAAGCAATGAGTGCACACAAAATATCATAAAAGCAGTTGTATTAAGGGCTGGTTAGGAATGTGGAGGGGTACTACATGTAAAAAAAATGTTACAATCGAACGTGAATATGATTGGTTAAAGCACAGATTTTCATAAGCCTCTTCAAATTACTTCTTTGCAGCGCTAATAGTCCTTAAACTGAATAATTTTTGATTTTTTTTTTAGTGTAAATATTGTATTTAAACTGCAACCGTTGTCAATGCCCAGCTTTTTGTGTTTTCTTGCATTTTCCGACCTATGCAAGTTAATAATCAATATTATTTTGTTAGAAAATCTGCGTTTTAACTTTATTCAAGTGCCCATTTTTGCAAAAAAGTAATCGAACTGTTCGTATTTACTCAAAAGGTTTTATTTCATGGTGACTGTTAATAATTTTGCTTTGAAACAGCCTAGTCGTTTCTTATAGGAGGTGAATTGATTATGATTGTTTGGCATTATGATATGCTTATAAACTTACTTTCAGTGTGAAATATACTTGACGTTTTGTTTTTGTTAAGTGCGTGTGATCTGTTAAAATACTTAAATCTTGAATATCGGTTTCTTTTTATTGTGTTTAAGTAATTTTTAGCGGAAAATCATCAGTTGCTTTATATCGACTGTATATATTTAAAACTTACTCTTTCAGTATGCTCTAAATTTGAGTTGATAAACACCTACTTTATACCTCATGATTGGTATGAGTATTGATTTTTTAAAAATTTTTATGTATTGGCACCCTATGTTCTAATATTTTGATTTTAAAATCCATTGCGTGCAAATTTAACGTGTAAGAACGAATGATTGTTATAAATAATTTCATATAATTGTTAAAATAGATTTGTTTGTTAAACATGTTGTTGGAATATTAGAAATGCATATGCATTTAACTAATATAATTAATTATACTTTGTATTTCTTTGATTTTATGAATATTTAAATATGTCTCATATTAGAAATTAGGTTCAAATGTTATGCTGTGCTTTATACTTGATTATGAATTTCTTTTTTTTTTTATAAATTCTTGTATTAAAATAGTTATCAAGCTTTGACGACCACTGGCAGGGGTCTGTCCTGGCCAAATTTACTACCGTTTAGCAGTACCTTCCGAAATTCAACTTTAGGAAAAACGGTAGTTTTACGAAATACTTTTTCTTAAAATTTTATTTTTGTATCCCTTAAGAAACGATAAATTCTTATTTTTACCGTATTTTTGTGTTGATCTTTTAATCTAATTTTTAATTTTTCGCAAATTACGTCTAAATTTTCACAAAATAGGTACCTCTCAGTAAAACCTAGATAGACCCCTGACTGGTGCATAATATTTGGACTGGACAATCAAATAATTTTGAATGAATTATTTATGTATGTTAACAGGCAATTAAAATTTATCTTTATTCATGCATTGAGCTAAGCATATTTAAATAGTGATTTTTCTGATCTTCAGTTAAGTTATCATTTCTTTCACATCATATAAATACTCTTTTATCTCATCGTGTCTGTATAATATGGGTGTTTAATATTTATAATTATTCTGATCTATTGGTAAGTGCACAACTTTCAGTAAAACTGGGTTTTTTACAGCGAGGTTTTACAATACTATATTAGGTAATGTTAATATAATTACTTATAAGTAATTATAATAACATTTAATAGACCACCTTTTTCAATGTATGAGGCCAGTATTTTCATGTTAAATATGCTGTTTGTTCATGTTCGGGACTAAAGCAAAGTCTCATCCTGTGTAATCTTTTTAAACTATCGACCAGTAGCACCCAAAAGAAAAACCACATTTTAAAAATTATGGTTTACTTATTGGATAAGACAAATAAGTTGTAGCCTGAATTTTTAACTAAATTAGTGAATTTTTGTATGAGGTGAACTATGTCATTATAAAAATGTTGTAAATGTATAAAAACATTGAATTTTTACAGAAAAAAAAAACCTGCATGAAGGGACTCTTTATTTTCCATAATGTTAGGGTTGTTGGATTTTTGTCTGGCCTAAAAAAGTCGGCTTTCATTAGAACTATTATTTAAAAAAGAAAAAAATTAAAAATTCAAAGTAGTGCAAATATAGTTTTATTGATGTTACAAAAAAAAAAAAAAAAAATACAACTTTCTTTGTTTGACTTAATTCTACCTTTTTTTAAAACTTTTCTTAAAAACTGAGAGTATGTAATATATATACAAAAAAAAAAATAAAAAATACTAATGCTTTATTAAATTATCAAATAAACAGAGGATTTAGTTTTATTTATATCCAAACTACATGGCATAAACACTATTGAAATTTTATGTTAATCTTTTTCTGTTTTTGTTATAATTTTTGAAAGGTATATTGTTATAATTTTTAAAGGGTATTATAATTTTTGTTATATTTACAACAATTCAAAACTAAATTTTTTTTTGTAGTAATAGATGATGTTTATAAATAAAATTTTAAATTATTCACTACATTTCTGTGTTCCAATTTTATTTAAAGAAATTAATATGTCAAACTTCTGCATTTTAAAGCCATGAAACTATCTTTTCATACTATCATTATTATAGTATTGATTGTTTTCATCACTTCAGCTATAAAACTTATAAAATTTTCCATTTTGCTGCAATATTAGGCACCTGATACATAATATCATGACTTATTTTACTTACATTATTTTTATTGCATCGTCACCAATAAAATAAATTTTAATGCATGTTTGTTATATTTTAATAATAATATATATATATATATTTATAAAAGCCCTTAAAAACAAGCTATTTTAAATGAAAGCTTGTCTTTTTAATAAAAATGGACTGTTTTTTGGGACCCCTGATTATTATTCAGTTATCTCTAATGCTGCATTAGGAAAAAAGAAAAAGGATAATTTTAATTACTTATATGCTTATTACTATTAAATGATTAAACAATGCTATATATAGATTTGATATTTAAGGATTTTTATCATAATTTTGCTTGCAAAAAAGGAGAAAATAAAATTTTTGTATAAAAATAACGACAATGGGTTAAAGACTTTTCTTTTTCTAGTTCCACTGAAAGATTTGACTTGTGTTTCTCATTATCTTTATATTCAATAAGATATGTCTGAAGTCTCTGTGACATTAGATGAGGAAGAAGGGCAGTTGAAGGAAGAAGAAACAAAAGAGGATGTAGAAGATGTTTTTGAAAGTCCCGAGAGTCCAGAAGTATCATGTGAGTTTAACATTTTATTATTTACTAAATTAATAATAGTTCATAATCTGCTTTTATCCAAGCCAATGATTTATATAAAATATTAATGGGATAATGTTTGATTAATTACTATTTATGCTACATAAATACATATAATGCATGTTTTCTATACATTCAAAGCTATAGAATTTATCATTCTACTGAACGCTAAATTTGAATTGAATTTTTTTTTAATCTGTTTGGGTATAAACTTCGCAACACAAATATCAGATTTTCAAAAAAATTCAGTCATTGGCATCTACAGAGCATAATTAAAAAATCCTGAGATTGGTTTTGAACTGCTTTTTTGTACACTGTACAAAAAAAGCAGTTTAAAACCAATGCTACACCTACTTTTTTGTACACTGTAGGCATAGAACTGCCTTGGGTTGCACTGCACACAATTTTGTACCTATTGTACTACATGTCTGTGTACAACATTTATCACATATTAAAACTTCAAAGCAAATTCTGGCAGCAAACTTCGATCATTTACGTAGGTAATGCTACTGTAATACTATGATGGTTAATCATCAAGAGAAGTTGTCCCGCAGTGTACTGATCGTTAAGACACGGTTCCCAGCAGATCACCGAAGTCAAGCATCACTGACTGCGTTTAGTGTGCGGGTGGGTGACCACTTGGATCAGCCTGCGTAGGGACCAAGGGTGTGCGGTATTGGTCCTCGTTACACTGTTCTACCGTAAAGTGCTCGACTTCGCGTGCAGGTCGTCGGGCTACCGAAGCGGGGGTGCCATCTCCTCCGCCGAAGATCAAAATTGTGATGGCATGTCTTCGGATCATCCTCAGGGATGTTTCCCAGACCGTCGCCAATAGCCCATTGTGCAGCTCTAGTGCGACATGAATGAACAACAACAATTAAAATTGATATGTAAATTGAGTTTAGGCTTATATTTGTATACTTAGAATTCTAATTCACCATTCCTATGAAAAAAAGAAACACATTATTTGCAATATTGAAGGGATCTGAGCATCTCAGTGATAAACCAGTTGCCTGACATCTAAACAGGCCTGCATGCATTAGATAAATGCATGGACTTAACTGTGTTTGATAACTCAATAAAAAATTTTAACATTTAATTTCCTCTCCTCCTAATCCCCTGTCTTATCTTCTATGTTCAACAGACCTTGTACCTTCACATTTCTCTAGCTATTTCCATTGTTATTAAGTTTTAACTCTTACGACACCAATTAAAAAATCAGTGGCAAAAAAGAAAAGAAGAAAAAAAACTTAGGTCTTTTAGTAGTTTCAAAGATAAAATGGTTAGATTAATGGTAAAAATTTTACTTTAGAATGGTAAACATTGTACTTTCTTGTAGGTTCTAATGATGAAATTAAGAATGAAACTGAAGAAATAGAAAGCAAAGTAAAAGAATTTGAGATCACTAATGAAAGCACAGATGGAAAAAATTTTGATGTTGAGTTGGATTTTGAAGGGGTTAGTTTGTACTGCTATTTTCTTTTGTTTCTTTACAACATTGTTTTATATAAATTATTAGTCTATGTATCAAAGCTAATTATAAATAAATATTTTATTCAAGAAGAATTTTCATAAATTATGTTATTATTATGCAATTTGTTTTTCTTTTTCAAAATTAGTTATTTAACAATTATTTTTCCTAGCTGTTGTTAAATTTTTTAGTTTCTCTCGGTTCATGCAAGTGAGGTTTCTATTTGTTTGCTCTTTCTTGGAATGAAAATGATTATTGAATCATAGATTTTCAAATGTTATTTTATATATTATTTCAATGTATATTTATGTTTTTATCTGAAAGATCTATTACAGCTTTATATGTATAAATGTTTTGCTCTCAATTTTTTATTGAAATAAACTTATTAAATTTTTATAGTTTATTGAAATAAACTTGTTTTTGTTATATTTTCCTTTTTAATATTAGTTTAAGCAATTTAAAAGCTTTTTTTTTTTAATAAAGAGAACATTTATTTATTACTGAATTACTGCTTATTGTGCTAATTTTTAGCCCTTTGCTTACTTGTTGACGTTTTCCTATTCCCACTTAGTAACGTTTTATTTATTTTTTGAAGGTAGTCACGGAATTGAGAAAAATTGGGGGAGTTTTATGTATTTGGAAAAATTTGAGAAATGTTAGGAAATTCAATAGAAATTTATGTTTTGAGTTAACTGGAACTCACATTTTTTTTTCCTTTCAAAAATGTGTTAAGCGACGCATATATTCTTTTTAATTTGAACAGTAATGTTTTGTAATCCTTTTATGTACAAAAATTGAGTATAATCAAAAATTTAAAGTAAAATTTGTGCCACTAGTTACTAAAGTTTGGGAAAATCAATAAAATCCATCTGCTAAAGTTAGAATGGACAAGAGCGCTGATTGATAATCACTAATTATGAAATGTGTGTTCTCATGACATTTTTTTTTTTTTTAAATTTTTTTTTTTAATAAAAATATGACAATATTTTTCTGATGCTCAACTTAATGCATAAAATTAAATGTTTATGCGTTAACAAAGTACAATTTATGCAACATGAATGTTATTGTAAAAAAAAAAAAAGAATTGAGTTACTTTCAGATAAAAGCAATCAAAATAAACAATTCTTTATTTGTTGTAGTTTTAGATATTTTTTTTAATAATAAATAACTGAAAGAAGTTTTTAGTAGTTATAATGATTAATTTCAGATATTTTTTAAGATAGATTTTTTATTCTTAAAGCTCTATATATGTATCATTTTTTATTTAAGGCTTGTTTTAACTGGCATTAAAATAAAGCACTGTTTCAATAATGTTTGTTTTAATATCATATTTAATGTACATATTTTATCCTTTCATTTAACTATAATCATTGAATCTCACAGTTTGATTTTTAAAAACATTTTACAAAAATAAAATGAGGCTCAGAATCATGGGTTAATTTTATGAACAAACACTGCAGATCTCTTTATTTATGGTAAATTGTAACTCCATTTCATATTTTAGTGTTATTTTACTCAAAAGTTATATTTCTTCAGATGTTATTATGTTGGAAAATGTTTCTTCCCCCTTTTATGCACTTTCTTTGCTGTCGGTTTTCTGTTAGTAAAATGATCATTGGTCACTAATTATTGCTATTATTATTATTTTTTTATATAAAAAAGTGGGCGTTACTCTTTTAATTTGTTACATTGTTATACTTTAAGTTCCGCTATTTGCATTTAATTTTTACTGTGATTATGTAAGATGTAAGAAAGTTTGCTAATAAGGTTTGCCCTTTGTAGATACAATATATAATGGCTTCCTAATTCTTAGGTAGTCAAAATCTTATTGGAATTTAATTTTCTTTACACACCTTTTCCTGTAGCATGTTCATATCAGTTTTAATCTAAAATTAAAAATGTTTTTAATCTGATCTTTTCATAAAAAGTCTGAATTTAATGCTTAAGAATAATGCTTATCTTGTTTGCCGCCAAATTTTCATTCATCTCATGATAAATATTATATTTGCTATATAGGAACAAGCTTCTGATAAAGAAGATGGGGAAATACCTGGTGAGAAACTGCCAGATGAGGAAAAGGTAATATTTACTTTTTGTTAGAATATAATGAATATTGCATATTTTTCCTTTATTAATTTAGTTGTTTTTACCTTTGTTAATATGCTTTTTTTTATTAATGTTGATATTTCAATATTTTAGGGTGAATTAGAAGAAGGAGAAGATGGTGAACTTACTGAAGGGGTACGTATCAATCTAAATTTTCATTTGTTAAAAAATTATAAATTTATTTTTCACTGTATCATGTACATTCTTTTTAGCATGTACAATTTTAAATAATATTATTATTTAAATCAGATCATTTATATTAAATGTATTTTAAATATTTGAGTGTTTGATCAAAATATTAAATATTTGAGTGTTTGATGTTGCTGTTTGGCATGTCTTTGTTTGGTTTCTCCCCCTTGTTTATGTTTAGTATTGTTGTTTAATAATATGAGGAAAACAGAGAGAGAATTTCCTAAAAATTTTTAAATACTCATACTTAACAACTTGTATGGTTCAACAGTACCTTTTAATACCCCAACATAATACATTCAGTGGTAATTTTTGAAAGAGTAATAGTAATGGGAAATTGTATTAAATAATAAATATCTAAACAGCCATTAAATTCCACTTATTCAATTTAGGAAAGATATGTCAACTAATTAAATGAAGGTCAAGTATTGATTGTTTTAGTTAAAAGCAGAATATTGTACGGGTCTTTTCTTTATATATTTTTGAAAATCATGCTTTTTGGGGCCATCTTAAGCTAGTCTTTAGTTTTTGTTATTAAGCTACTTTTATTTAAATTAATAAAATTATTCTCACAACATTTAATTCTAATAATGTTTTTAACCTTAAATTTTTCCAAAATAGTGTGTTTTTGACAAAAAGGGAAATTTATTATACTCTGAAACAACTACTCTTGAGAAGACTGTGGGGAAATTTACAATTGTTTAGTACATTATTTGTGAAATACATTGTTCTAAATACGACTAATTTTTGTTGTTTTTTAGTTTATTTTGTTAAGATGTTTCTTCCTAATCAAATGATTATATTATTAGCACAATTTCTTCTTTTTTTTATACAAGTATATTGGGAAGAATAGCGGTATTTTCTTCTACAAGTATTTATGGTTGAAAACTATAACTTTTTAGCAGGGATAAAAATTATAAATTTAATAGAAAAATAATGATTTTAGTATCCTCCTTCTAAGTCTCATTCAAATATAGATTTTCTTGATTTAAAGGTTTTTTCAAATTTGAAATTCATATAAATGTTTTCTTTTTTTGCCATTTTGGTACTGTCTAGTTTCTCTTCCTCCCTTTTCATTCTAGACAGAAAGTCCGCTTTGGAAACAAGAATAAAACATAATTGGAGATTTTTATTAAAACGACAAGACTTTCCCAACTTATTCTAAAGTAAAATGACTAAACGCATAATCTTTTTCAAATTGTCTTTTCCTTGTAACCACCAGCAAGTCAAGTGTTTTTAGATTCTTGTAATAGCTGAACTGTAGTTTTACACTTCATTCATCATTATGCTTCATTCTTACTTAGGCCATGTACGTATTTAAAAACCTTAAAAGAGTTAATATTGTCATACATAGCAGTTCTGAAGATTTTAAAATTCATTTTTTAATGCTTTATTTCTCTCATTTAAAGGATGATGAACTTGAAGAAGGGGAACTGGAAGAATCTGGACCAGCTGCTAAAACCCCTACCAGACAAGTGTGCCGGTTTTTCAACCGGGGGAAATGCACATTTGGTCAAGTTTGTCGTTTTTTGCATTTAAATAATAATTATGGTCGTGGAAACTACAACATGTTTCAGAATAATAATGATAGGTATCCTAATAATGGTGGACCATGGCCCCCAGCAAGTGATCCTGCCATGGTTAATCCAAGATCTGGAGGAGTAAGTGTAATTTTGAATTATCACACAATAAAAAAAACTTAACAAGGTTTATAGGAAATTTAATTAGGGTTGCATTGGGAAATTTACAGTGGGTCATAGTAACCAGGGCTGGAAAAAATCATGTTGAATTGAATTTTTTTGATTTAGTTGAGTCAAACTTTTGGAAAACCAAATATCTAATTGTCAGTTTGATATTAAACAAAGAGTAAATGAAACTCAACTTGTACTCATTGAAAGGCACTGTTCCTAAATTACTTTTTCCAGAACAAGCCTTTTCTGATTTTTTTAAATACATTAAGTATATATTTTTTAAGTTTTTAACTCTTTTGTCAGGATGGACGAAATGACTCGTCTTAAAAAATATCGGCTGTTGGGCTGTTTACTATTGTTTTGTTAGTGAATATTGAGATTTATTGTAATTGATTATTACCTTTCAAAGTAAAATAAAAGGGTGGGACTTATTTGCATCATAGCTGTGATGAAAGTGTTAAAGCCCTTGTATTTAAAAAAACATAAAATTAAAAAGATGTAATTGAAAGATTTATTTATTGGTAGTAAAATAGAAAATAATTTTATGCAATTAATTTAACTTATGCAATTCTAAAATTTAAAAGTTTTCTTTCATTCTTATCTATGCTTTTGTTTCTCCCCCCCCCATCCTTATTAGCAGGTTAAAAAACCTTCATTATCAATATAATTTTACATGCTACATCCTATATTCAGGAGCAAAATTGTTCTGCAATAAATTTTTGATATTAACCATTCTGTGGGTATCGTCAAAAATAAAGAATTCTCTCTAGGTAATTATTACTTTTTTTTTCAAAAAAAATATTAAAAAGTAAATAAAAAATTCTAACAAAAATTGCAAAAGTAGAAAACCTTAAATTAAATATCAAACTATATTTACATGTTTATGTTATGAAATAAATTTTACTAACTGCATAGATAACTTTTATTGCGACTTGCTGCAGGGAACTCTTATTGTTTCAAGCATATGTACATGTATTCATGTATTGCACAGCTTGTATACTTTGGGGTATTACCAAAAGATATAAAGGAGATAGCTTACCTCCACCAAAAGGCCGGGAACACTTCGTATTAATCCATAGACTTCTAAATAATGGCAGTTTAGAGTGAAACATTCAATATTAAATTTTATTCACAATCACAAACATATGGACACAAAATATTTACGGACACACACAACAAAAAAAAACATGCTTCGCATCGCAGTTCTAAAACAGTTCTCTCTTGAACCAGAGTGTCAGTGTGTGTGGGAGGAGTCGGATTAGCCGTGAGCACGTGATTATCACGCGCTCACTAGATGAAATTAAGTGATAGATTAATGATTTTAATTGGAATTTCCAACATATACATATGTATATCTATATACAAATAAAGTATTTCGGGATTATTTTCCTGGAGTTTAATGCTATTTCTTTGTTTTTATTTAAATTATGAAAAGGTTTTTCCTTTGTAATAAGGCAATGCTATTTTTTTTCTCTAACCTTTTTATTAATTTGGCAACTCTCTGAATTATTGATTGATTAAATGTTTCCCAAGGGATAGTATTTGTGGTTGAAAAAATAAATAAATAAAGTTGATATTGCAATTTGGTATAGAAAAAGCTGTGTGAGACCGCTCATTTCTTTCGTTTATTGTAGGAATTTTTTCTTCTGTAACTATAATTTGATCATTTTATTCAAAATTTATTCCAATTTATCTTAGACGCTTGATGTTTTGGAGAAAGTTACAAAAGCTTTTACAAACTCTCAAATGATGTTAGATTTCTTCTAATCAAACTATACTAATATTTTAAGACCTAGAAGGGTCTTAAAAAGTGTGTGTTTTTGCTAAATGTGTTGTATAAATTAAAAAAATGTCGCTCATGTCTAATCCAAATCCCAAAAATAAATTTAAAAAATTCATATAGAAGGTATTGCAAAAATTTTTTAATTTATTTTATTGCATAACCTTTGTATCTAAATTATTTATTTAATTGGAATTAATTTTCCCGTTTATATTTTAGCGTCAAGATTTTTTTGTACCCCCTTTTGTGCCCCCACCAGTGCCACAACCAAGTCCACTTGAAAGTGCTTGGGAGAGAGGTCTACTCAATGCAAAAAAAGTATGTTAAATGCAATATTTTCATGCAATTAGGAATTTTGTGAGTTATTTATTTAGTAACTGTTAATTCTCCTACAACTGTTCAACTATTAATTATATTATTATCATTATTATTCATTTAACTATTAATTGCTAATGTGAGTTAATAATTTACTTGTATGTATGTTTTTTTTTAAATATTTAGTTGGTGAAGAAAGCACATATTAGAAAAGGTAGCTCTCCTGATTTTGAAGAAAAGCGACTGAACTTAAGCTTATCTCAGGATCTGCCTGAAAATGATAAAGAAAATGAAAAGAAAAAAGGAGATAGGCAAAATTTCTACAAGTATGCTGTTTTTCTTTATTATTATTTCTCTTTGTTCAAACATATGCAAATAAGAAAACTTTATTAGCTTTTCTGTATTTTAATAATTTAAATAGAGAAGTTTTAAAGGTATATATACATTTGAGAAGTAATTGAGATTTGGTTAGCTTTTTTTCCTCCTACTATTTTATACAGAATTTGTTTTATAATTGTTATTTAAATCTTTTAAACTGAAACTTATGAAGCTAGTAGTTGTTAAATCTTAAAATATTTTTCTGATTATTTATCATATAATGATAGTAAATTTTGGAAATAATGAAAAGAAATGATAGATATTTTTATCTGTCATTTTAATATTTCTACTATTAATGATCATTTTATTATTTTTGTTGGTAACTATTTTTTTATAATTGGTATCACAAACTTTAATTTTATTATTTATCTATGTTACAATCTATATTCTTTATTATACTTTAAATTTGGAGGGTTTTTATAAAAGTAGGTACAATTGTGTGATCATCATTAGTTTTTCTCTATTGCTTATTGTTTAATAGAAAATTAGATAGATTATATCAAAGAAGAGATTTATATTTAATTAGAACCATTTATTGAGGAATTCTTTAAGTAAATATCTCTATTATTTTGCAAGCCTTCGTACTCATCTTCCTACATCCAATAACCTGAAGATTGTGTTTCAAATATATTTTTTTCCCCTTCAAATAGCCTCCTAAACTTCTACATTTGTTATAACCAACATTTAACAAGTCTTTCTTCCGTGTTGAAATGTTTTTGCTGATCCTTACGCTTTTAATATAATAAAACCATTAAAGAGCTCCTGCAAAAAGCAATCCCCTTTTCTACAATCAGTTTTTGAGGGTAAAATTTTCTCAGATGTTATCTATCTATCAGATGTTAAAACATTCTTTAGGAGTGGTCAGGCAACCCTCTATAAATAACCAATAAATAGCTTCCTGTTGAAAAACTTTCTTAGCATTAAAAACACAGTGCAAATCAGTGGATGGAACTTGACCTATAACAGGTACAAAAAGGGTGAAATAAAAGTAAAATTAAAAGTCGCATTGCAGATGGTTTTTAAGTGTTTATATTATTTTGAGTGAAAAAAAGGTAGTAATGTTTTTCTGCTAAATAAAGAGTGACTGCTTCTTAAAGTTTTGTCAAAACTCTGTGTTGGACTTCTGTTTCATTTTGGCCATTAAAATATACCTTTTTTTGTTAATTATTTCTAAATTAAATTAATATATACACTTAAACATTTACACTTGTGTTTGTGTAATAATATGGTAGGCTGCATTACTTTCTGATATGTCGACAAGAATAAGTTCCTTGCACTACCATACTTCCTAAAACATTAAAGAATAAGACCTTAAAGTCCAATTCAAACCTTCTTGTGGTGGAATCTGTTTGTAAGCATGGATTGGGCTTTCTACTAACTACTAAAGTACAAAGCAATAACATGTTGTGTTCTCAAAAATGGATTATATTTATATTAGATGATACTAAATAATATATTTTTTCAGATATGATGCTGAACCACCCAATTGGAAAAGGCATAGTTTTGACAATTTTGAGATACGCTACACTAATAGAGATTTCTTAGATGTTCCATATAGAGTAAGAAAATTTAAAGTTTTAAAATGTATGAAGATTATTATAATTAAGCTTTGTGCTAGATTAATAGATGTTTTATATTGTAATTTCATTGCATTGATGTTCTTTCTTGTTTACATATTGTAAATTATTTCCTGCAAAATAAAAAAAACTTCTAGTACAAGACTTTTGATTTCAAGCTATTGAATTATATCACATCAAATAGAAATAAATAAATACAAAATTTAAAAAAAATATTTCAGCTTAAAGTGAGATAAAGTGAAGTATCTTTATGTGGGCATTTTTTATGCTCGGAAATTAAATAAGGCAAATACTGTTAGCTGTTTTTAATTTCTTATAGTTGGGACACTTGGTTGTATTAAACTATAGTATTGTTAGCTAATTTTATTTGTTTGCTTAAAAAATTGTGCCTTCTTTTAAATGCTTTCAAATCCCACTTAGTGTGACTGTGTTGCTGAATTTTAATAGCCATGTAAATTATGTTTGGATCATAATTTGTCTTTAATTAGTTTAACAATATTCACTTAAATCTAAAACACGGAGTTTGATGACATAATAGGCATTACAGATTTCCTAGCTTTGAAAATTTCTTTAATTTCATATATCATTCTTAATCTAATTTTAATTAAATTAAAGCAATTATTTAATTTTTATTGCATTTCATAAAAAGCAAATGTAAATATTTTATTCTCTTCTTAACAATCAATGTAATGGCTAACTTTGTAATTAAATGCAAATGTAAAGCTCATTTATTCTCTGTTGCTCGTTATTGATCATTAAAATCTATTTTGAAATCTTTATTCTTTAAGCTACTTTATTTCTCTTACCGCAAAAGCGTTTCAGTTACTGAGTTATATTAATTCTAATGATGTTTTTAGTGATTAAGCTATAGCCAAATTATTTCAAATTTAATATTATTTGCTTTGATTTCGTTTTTTTTTATCTTTAAATAAATTGCCAACTATAGATCTCTTCTTGCGCTCTTAACTGTCCATTGGGAACAATTCTTTTTGATTTTAAATTCTTGGCGTTAGGACTAGGGAGTTTTTTTCCCTACTGTTATAAAAATAAATTACATCATATTTGAAGATGTATCCCTTAATCTCTATTACAGACACCTGATCCTTACTAGTTCTTTCATTCTATTATGTAATGGCTATTGCTACTAAAATAAAGTAATTATTGTTTTGATACATCAGTGGACTATCAATTATTTACAAGTGCAATGTACAATATGTATCTACTATAAATTCTCATAATAAATTTTTTTTCTAACAATGGAATGAACGCTATCAGAAAGAGGTTTTTAAATCCAAAGATGTAAAATTCATTGATGATGAAAACACCTGCAATACTCTTCTGTGAAAGTGGATTGTTGGGGGTTTTTTTCCCCATCAAATCAAACAAAACAAACAAGTTATTCAATAATAGTTGTGGTTAATTATTTTTAATAATCTGATTAATCAAGGGGTATGAGTAATTATGCCCAGTCTACCCTACATTGATATTTTTTTTAAGGTTACCCGGTATACTCTTGTGATGTTTTTTTAAGGTCCAGTGCCCCTGCCCGTTATGCATTTGTCTGGTATACACAGCTCTGATATTTTTAAGGTTAAGTGCCATTGTCCGTGGTATTATTTATACTGACTGTTGAGGTGAAGGGTTGGCTTTGTTATCGTGAATTCACTCACTGTGATTTGGTAATTTTTTTACGCCCACCTTTAATGGAGCAGTAACACACCTGCCTGCTAACATATGGGGGCTCCAAAATAATGCAAATTTGATATTAAAAAATTTGTAAAACTTTCAGTTTAATTTAAATTGTTTGTTTACAACTCGTCACACTCACATACTTCCTCAGAAAAATTCAAGCTGCTTTTTTTTTCATAACGTTTCTAGTGTGTGCCAATAATTAAAAGTAATTTAGTAGTAAAAGTAGTTAGTTTCTTTTCATCTGCCACCAAAACACCTGTCACATGCAAACTTGTGGCATATGAGCCATTTGTTCCTCATCTCTGATTTAAATCAAAGTTTGAAGTAGAATCTGTTTATAAATTGCATTGCATTGCATTTTGTAATTTATTTTTAAGTATCTATGTTAATGTGTGTTATTTCATTAAGGAACGTGAAAAGGGTTCACCCCCAAGTAACAGACGAGACAACTATCCAGATCGAGGAGAAAAGTAAGTGAAATTTCTAGTGCATTTTAGCTCTAGAGAGAGTGAAAATTGTTGTATACCTAGAAAGACTGTCAGCCCTTCTTAGATTTTTTTTTAGTGTAAATCTAAAATATGTATTTAAAATTTAAATATATGGTTAAAAAAAGTGATTTATTAAAAGTAATGATTGATAGTAGAATTATCAATCATTAGAATTACAAGGGATTTTTTTTTTTACTTGATTAACAAAAATGTATGATTAAATGAAAGATAACTTTTTCAATTATACTAATACTTTGTAGTTCAAATAAATTAAATTCATACTCTTTATAAATGATAATATTAAGTTATTTAAAAAAAAAAATAAAAAACTGAAATGCTCTTTTTCACTTGATGAAACTGAAAATTTATAATACTAACATGATTTCTTGTCTTCCTTTCTTTCTTTAACAGTTTTCATAGCAATCAATACATAACTCCCTTTTTTTAAAAAAATACATTCGCTACAATTCTGATAAGTATAGCAGATATTTCTTTTTGCTCCCTTGTTGTTAATTCTCTTTCTTAGGGAGTGTCTATCTATTTACACAATACTCTTATGGTGTCACTGTTTTAACATAATTTTTTGATGATTCACCTGGAGCATGACCTGCACCTTCAACAATTCCTGTGACTGAGTTTGTTCTTTTCAGTCAGCTCCTTATATAAAACTGACAAATTTATAGCTGATATATCTGGAATAATATTTAAAATTATAAAATCATGAAATAGCAATTACATAAAGGAATAAGGTCACTCTGGCCCCTGCTGTGATTCTAGTTATAAGTTTCAATATTTACGCTCCTATGAGGAAGCTCCAGAGATAATTTCTCTGGTTTAAGTTAATTATATTTGGAATTTCTGAACAACAAAAAACAAAAAGAGACACACAGGCCCTTTTATCTTTCTAGTGTTAAATTGCTTTTTTACATGTAGAGACTGATGTATGTTTATAAACATGAATAAAAATAAAGATAAGAGTTTTCCATTTTAATGTAATAATTAAGTCTTCTCTTCAATTTAGACAATATCATTGTTTGCAATGTGTTCTAATTTTTAACCTTCTGTTTTTATTTATTACACTGTTCAGACCATATAATGTTTTGTAATCAGTTAGAATTGAAGTTAAAGTGATCCCTTTTGACTTATGTTTGATTATGTTTTGTATTATGTTAATTAAAGTTAAAACTGTCATTTGAGGTTAGTTTAAAAAAAAGGAACCTGTTTCATTACTTTCTATTTTTAAATGTGCAGGCTTGAAAAATGGCTTCTAGATATTGTAAACTTCTGAATAGTTAGAAATTTCTGGTTTTAAAATTTTGATTTCTAAACAGATAATATCATTAGTCTGCATTAATGTCATATTAATAATTCATTTAAAGATATGTGAGGAATGTGACATTTTAAGTTAAATTAATGATAGCGTCAATACATTGTCAATAAGCTGTGGCAACTGTGTATTGTTTGTATTTAGCATCTCTTCTATCAAAAATTGAGTCTCAAATCAAACCTTTCAAATACATAATTTAATGATCACAAATTTTACCTCATTATTTTTTATAACAAAATATATTATGAATTTGCAATTTTGAATAATTCATTTCAAATGTTTAAGGATGTCAAAAAGGGGTGGACGCCAATGGGACAATGATAGATTTGGAGCATTACCCCGACTACGTGCTGAGGAATGGTATGATCCTTACAGAAGGTAAGTTATCTTTCCTTCTTTGTTTTGTAATTGGTAATGAAAAATTTTTTTCTTCTCTTTTCATAAATCTTTATATTTCTTCTTAAATATTTATTGTTGTTGATAATTATAGATATCTATTGTATTCACAATATTTCATGAGGCTAGTTTTAATTGTAATTATCATGATAATTAAAAAATAGGGACATTTCATGATAGATTGGTATATCGCCCAGCTGTGTTGTTGTAAGTTTTTTTTTAATTACTAAAAATTCTTCCTGATCTAGAAGTATCAGTTACAAATAATTTGAATTTAATCTGGTTCTATTTTGTTTACAATATAAATAAATAGATTTGCTTTGTTAACTGATGTTCTTGTTTATAAAACTTTTTTTTAAGTTTTTCCTGTTAAGGCTTTTTCTTAAGAGAGCTTCCTCTATGCTAACGTACATGAGATGCCCATTTCTTTATTTAAATAACTATTTATATTTGTTAAATTTTTAAACTGTTAATAAATTTTAAAACATATTGGAAATTATTATTTTAGAACTGTGTAAAGAGAACTTATCACCTTTAAATTAGGTTTGATAGAAACTTTTTTACTTTATTAAATGAGACAAAATATTCGAAAATCTAGTTAGTATAAATTTATAGATCGCATTTATATAATTCTCTTTTGGTTAGTATGGAGGAATTGAATTTTTTTTCGTTTTCTGTTGGAATTTATTTATCTTTTTTGTTGGAAAGGAGTCCTTAAGTTTTTTTGTGCTTTAACGAACATCTTTTACTTTAAATTACAATTATCTGTTGCACTTTTTGGTGTATTAATAAAATGTCTTCTTATTTTAGATCAAAGTCTCCGAAAGGAAGGAGATCTCGCTCCAGGTCGGGCAGTTATTCAACTGTATCAAGCTACTCATATTCTGACAGGTAAACCGGCTGCTTTTCATATTGTTTTAGTTTCTCGCTTCTGTGTCATTTATGTAAATTCTCAACATGTAAAACCATTTTTATTGCATAACAAATTTTACCATTTGTATAATGTTGGCCATTGATAAAGTTAAATTTTTTTTTATGGCTGAAGTACTTGAGTCAATTTTAAATGCATTAGAAATACTTCCCCTTATATAACTGTATGTAGCAATAAATTGTGTGCTTATCACAAATTTAAAAGGACATTTGGTGTTAATATCCTATAAAGAAGTAGTGTTTAAAATTATAATCATTCAATTTTATAGTTGATGCCAAACTTTTTTTCCTCTTTCAGGTCGTCTGTGTCATATTCCAGAAGTTCTTCTGGAAGTTCGTGTGACTCTTCACGAAGGTATTATAGTTTAAAATAAAGTTAAGAAAATGTATTAATACTCAATTTTTAAAATTCTGAATTTAAATTTATAAGCTTTGAATTAAATGTTTCATAATAGTGCAATTGCTGTGTTGCCATCCTATTGATAGAAATAATTTGTTAAAATTTAACATATTTGTGTTAAAACATATGCTTTTCATAGGATCATCAGCTGCTATTTGTCAAAAATACAGAATGGTTACTTTGTTCTGGGTCCCCTTTAGACAGAAAAGTATTCTACTTCCACAATGTTATCCTGTGATCAATTATATGAATGATATTTCATTATTTTAGTTAACAGTTATTATTTTTATATTAATTATGACACAGTAGTCAAGACTCTAATTTGGCATTGTGAAGAACTAAGGTTTTATCTCCGGTAGTGTTTTGAAGCCCATCCAGCTTCAAACAATAGATATCAGCTTCTATTTGTCTGGGAAATAATGGATGCAGTGCGAGTTGCAATCTTATTGCCACAATCATGCCATTTGACTCCTGAAGCTCATAATTAGCTCTAGTGAGAGTGCTTACATTTCAGACTTCATTTTTCATCCTCTGATATCGAACCGAAAAATCTCTTGAGAATTTTAAATGGATTATATGATCAAGAAAAGAGTTCTTTCTCAGAAACTAGTTATTTCATCATGATCATGTAGAATTTTTGAAAATTTTGAATTTTTTTAATGTATATAGTGCTTAAAAATCTTTTTTGAGTGCTTAAAAAGTACTTAAAAGGTGCTTATTTTTTAGTGAAAGATTTGGCTATCCACCCTGACAAATAAAAATTAGTTTTCATATAATTTTTCATAAGTTAATGTAGAGGAAGTAAAAAAAAATGGTTCCTTTGAAAAACTATTGGTTGAATTATTTTCAACTGTTAAAATATTTTTTCCTAATTAAATTTGAATGGTATGTTTTATTTTACTTACAGTCCATCCCCTTTATCACGGAGAAAATCTCCTCATGATGGAATCTCATCGCCAAAAAGAAGCGACAGTAGACTTCTAACAAGGAGAAAACCTGGTGGAAGGTAAGTCATGCTCTCAACCTGTTTCACCCTTTAATTTACAAAATTAACACTGTTTCAAGTGTTTCTCTTTGTAGCTTCTGCATTTTATTTTGTTTTCATTTATGTTGAAAGACAACAAAACTGGTTTTTGTTTCGATCTTAATCACAATACGAATTCCTTTGTACAATAGACACGGAAGAAGTGGAAGTTATTCACGAAGTCATTCAAGGTCACGGTCCATCAGCAGGTAATTTCACTACTCGTTCGCACTCATCAAGTTGCTTCAATCTAACCATTCCTTTCTCCCAAACAATTCTTTGGTTTTTTTTTAAAGGCAAAATCTTCCTTCTTCCTATATTGCTTTTGTCAGTATTAAAGTTGCTCTTCACTTCATTTTGAATAACTACTTTAATTGTTGCTTCTGTCTTTGTCAGGGATTACTGTTTTATCTGCCTTTTTATAACATCTTTGTAACATTACATTTTTACTAAAATTATTTTTTACTCATAAAGTGTTGGGCAATGAGTATTTTAAAAAAATTTGGAAAGGTAAAAACAAGGCTTATCACATTCTTCTTCTGATGGTTTCTGTGAGCAACTTATATTTTTAAATTTTTGATATTATATTATATATTTCAAGTTTTTTTTTTAAATATTTAAACTGCTTCAAAGTTTTTACGTTATTGAAGTTAAAATATTCTAATATGCTAAAAAAAGGAAACTGATCACCCCGAATAACTTTTGCTTTAATGATCTTCATATAACTCAATTTTAATGGTTCGAGGGGGTGCTCTCTAATATGCTATTTAAATAATGCAGAGGATGTTTTAAGTTATGAAATCAAACACAAAAATGTACTTTCTTTGAATAAACAAACCTTTTTTTTTCTTTCGACGGATTTGGATCTCTTACCCTCAAAATATAAGGGGTTGCCGTCGTCTTGGAAATAGGGTCCCAACAGTTTGGTAAGGAAAGAATTCCAAAGTTTCACCCCTTAATGTTAATTTTATTTTTTGCATACTTCACCATCTCGAGAACTTTATAAGCGAATTAAAAAAATTTGCACACAAAAGATAATTTATTGCAAAAACATTACTTTTAGTAAATATTTAATATTTTATTTAATAATAGTCGAGATAAGTTTGAATTGTAAGGTATAATTTTTTTATATATATTATGCTATTTTACATGCAAACTTTGATCGTAATCGGTTGAATAAATTCTGAGCAATCTAAATTTTAAAAATGCCATTCTTAAAATTCAATTTCTCAGGCATCATCCGACTGATTTCACTCAAATTTTGTATTTTGCCTTGTAAAATTGCTTTCTTTAAAATGATGTAAAGAATTGTATATGTTACAATTTTTTTCACTATTAAATAAAATAATAAAAAATCGGTTGAATAAATTCTGAGCAATCTAAATTTTAAAAATGCCATTCTTAAAATTCAATTTCTCAGGCATCATTCGACTGATTTCACTCAAATTTTGTATTTTGCCTTGTAAAATTGCCATCTTTAAAATGATGTAAAAAAATTGTATATGTTATAATTTTTTTCACTATTAAATAAAATAATAAAAAATCGTAAATGTTTACTAAAAGTTATTTTTTGCAGGAAATTGTGTTTAAATAAACAAATTTTGTAAAACATCTTTGAATTCACTTAAAATGTTTTGGGTTTCCAATTAGTAATTTTCAATTCCGTATCCTTGTAATTTTGAACCTTATCCAGAAGACAAGGGGACTCTAGGTTCAAGTATTCGGAGGAATTTTGCCTTTGTTGAGGACTTTTTGATGGAACTAACTTGCATTTGCATTACATGGACAGGAAAGCCTCCCACGGTTAATCTGACAGCAAAACCCATGATCTGTCTACCACTGAGGATATTTTAACATCAGCACTGTGGTCGGTGCAAGCCGGATGCAGTATTTGTATCCACCAGCCATTGCTGAGATAGGAACCCGGTCACCTCATTAGAAGGCGGAAATTCTATCACGACTCGCACTAATTCATTAGCATATTTGAGGATACCCACTTGAACCACTAAGAATGAGTCCTAGTACATGAATATCTGATCATTAAATCAAAAGCTATTCAGTCTAGTTACAATAATATTTATGACTCATTTGAAGTCTAATCAGTTGCCTTACTCCTACCCATTTCCTATAATGATAAAGTTTGGTGTGACTGAAAAACCAAGTAATTATACAATATTTGATTTTTATTTTGATAATGTTCAGTATGCGTTAAAAATCGACATTCATTTAAAAATATTTTTTTTATTGTAAACGTAGTACCAGCCATTTTTTGCTGCTCATACATTTATTATTAATAAAAAATGGTTCATAAGAAAATGGAATCATTTGAAGACCTGCAAAAATGTTGCGTAGAACTATTTTTCGTTGCTAAATTTATCTCTAATTGATTCATTTTAGGAAGACATCACGCAAACCTGAGGTATATACAGTTCTTAGTTTCTTTTTAGCATACAGTTTGGCTTCTTTCTACATATTTTCTTCCATCCATTATGTTCCATAAGGTTCTTTAATTTATTCAACTTAGAGTGACAGAAATCTTACTCTCTGTATGTCCTAAAATGCTAGCTGCAAATCTATTGCAATGTTATTGTGTAAAAAGCCTATTCACTCTATTTTTATTTTGTTTCTACTTTATGTATTAGTGTATATCTTTAATGTAAAATATAAATTGTGGACTTGGAGAATGCATTTTAAAAGCCTATATACATAAAACACCTGTTTTGGTGACTTGAGATATACTATGGTTCATGTTTTTATGTACTATAGTTTCATTCTTTCTGTTTTTTTTTTTAAAACTAAAGAAAAGACAAAAGTTTAGTTCTTCGCAAGTTTTCTAGTTTGTATTTTTTTTTTAATTATAAGTTTTACCTGATTTTAAAATTAATTCAACTTGAACAAACTTGGAATAATTTTTCATGTTGGGTTGTAATGGCATTCATCTTTTATCGTCGTTCTGGATGGTATGTTTTAAAATGACTTGAACTGACTTGCAATTTTACCGCCTCCTAAAAGCAAAAATAAATTGAATTTTTCCAAGAAGTTGTGTCCAAAAAATATGATTTTGGTTAAAATTGCCTCATAATTGTTCAATATCTAATAAATTTTATTTATTTGAGCAAATACACACATAATAGTTTCCTTCTTTTCAATACAGTGAATTGTAAAAACTTGAAAAAGCAAATTAGGTTACGCTTTAAAGGTACTTTCTATAAACCAATACTTTCTTAGAGATACAAAATTAAATTTTTTTTCTGTGGAAAAAAATAGTATCCGATCATCAGTTGGTCCACTGTCATGCGAAAGAAATTTTTTATCAGCCAATGTCCATTTGTAAGCTTTCAGAATTTCCCCCTCATTCATGATGGAGGTATTGGAACGCCACTTGTTTTTCTTCTTGCTCGGCAAAGATTTTTTCTTTCAGACAGTTTAAATTTAATATTTTCCTGGTTGCATTTTTACTGTACGAAACAGTTGCATCTCACACAATATTTTGAGGTCTATCATTTGTTTTCACTTCTTGCTCTATAATTTTAGATATAATATTCTTCACCTCTACTTTAACAGCATTCGGCAAGGGGTTGTGGTCAGTGACTTTTATAAAACTATTGTTCAGTATATGGCAGCTTTCTTAACATTTTCCCTTTACAGCCAATATTCTTTGACTCATTTGTTAACAACAAAATTAACTTGAAAATAATATGACTCATAAGAATCAGGAAGGAAGATCTATCAACAGCAAGGATTTATTCAATACCATTATTAGGAACACATTAAAAATTCCTTTTTATGTAAAGTTTCAACTCCATCACTGCCACAAGAGAAGAAGTGCTCACATCTTAACTCGATGAATCACTGGAATGCCTAACAAATTGTTACATTAAACTTTTAAAATTCGTAACCGTTGTTGTCATCTTAGAAAAATTGGATTTTTCATAAATTATTCTCCACGGGATAGAAAATTTAACAAATTATATTGAATTACGAAATTCATACAAAAAAATTAAATGATTATGAAGATGGAATCAAAATAAAAAAAATTAAGAAAAACTTCAAAATATTAATTTTAATTGTGCATAAAAAATATTATTCGAACTTAAATTGCTTGTTAAAATCAAACTTGAAATCCATTTTGCATTATTGGAAGATTGGCAGGGAAATGATAAATTAAAATAATAAAATATAAAAAAATATTTAAGATTTTTATTTTATTAAAATTAAATTATTTATGAAGTTAAAGTTTTAGAACATTGAATTTTCTAAATTCAAGGTTAGCGTTCTTTATTCTAACCTTACTCTACCCATTAGCATTTATACCTGTACACAAATGCAAATCTTTAGGATTTTTGACAAAAGTTTCTCTATGTAATGGATTCATGGACAAAGCCATCAAAAAGTGGCCAATGCTGATTGGGAATAAAATCTATGCAACAATAAAAGGTTTTTGGATCTTTTAATTTTGATATAATAATCTATCTATGAACAAACAAAAAGTTATGTGTTGCGTGAATTTAGGCGGGAAGGGGGGCTTAATGAGCTAAGTGAGCTGGGTTCAGAAATAATGGATTTAGAAAAATAAAGTTCTTCTGATTTTTTTTATTTATATATTAATTTTGTTTTTCTTCTTTAAAGGAAATAATTTTAATTTTTTATTAGTCCATCTAGCCAGTTCTTAGTTATGTTATAAATTTTCTTTAACTCCATTTTATAGGTCTAGTTCATCAAGATCTTTATCTATGGATTCAATATCTGAATCTGGTAATTCTTCGACAGCATCTGTTGGTGGAAGTAAACCACACCTATCTATTATGTCCAAAAAAGGTAATTGCAAAAGCTTAGAATTTTTTTTGTTGCATCTTTTAAACATTTTTACATTTCTTTACTATTTCTTAATTTCTACATTTTTCACAAATTTTTTTTATTAATTATTGGTTATAAGAATCTGTGTAATAACTTCTTGTTGTTTGAAAATTTTCCGACTAGAGGTTTATCTGGAGTTTTATATTTGAACTTTTTGTTTATAATCCTAGTCAAAGCAAGTTGCCTGTTCTAATAAAAATATTTAAATTATGAGTTGATGGCTTTTTTGTTGTAAAAAAAGCATTAAATGATATTTGTATAATTTTTTTATTTATTAATATTAAAAATTTAATTTAAAATTTTGGAAGAAACTGCAGTTATTTTTATTTTTTAAGCAATTCATTATTCTGAGGAATATATATATATTTTTTTGTTGCATTTATTCAAAATCTTGATCTTGCCTAATTCATGTGTGGGGATTTTAAATCTGATATGCTCCTATAGCCGTAATTTTTTAAAATTACATATTACAAAGGGTCACTTAAATGTTGCAACAAACTTCTAAGGGAGTTAGAGCTCATCATAAAAATTAAAATTGCGTAAAAACCCATGCTTAAAAATGTCGTCATATATCGCTTGAGGCGCTTCCCTATTCTGAGCTGCTTCTTTGTGTGTTAATAATGTATTTAGTACATGATAGTTTATGTTCTTAATAGTAATAATAATAATGTGCATAAAGGGTAATATGCATAATAAGGAAGTGCCCCTGGCTGTGTAGGATGACAATTTTAGGCATGAGTTCCTTATACAATTTTAATACACGATAATGTTTTAAAATGCCTGGTGACGTGCTATAACTCTCTTAAAAGTTTGTTGAAATGTTATGTATTACGTACCTTTCCACTTTTTGGTAAAAAAATTAACTAAAAATATGATTTTAAAAAAAGTGTTGTTTGAAGAAAGAAACTGGTTGCGGATTCGAAATCGGCTATACAAAATTATCTAAGGTTTGTTTTAAAAAATCTCATACAACAGAGAAAATAAGAAAGAAGAAATAATGTTTCCTTCAGTTATTTTTTTCCCTTCCTGTGATTGCTTTTTAGTTTTTATTTATTTAGAAATTGTATATTATTTTGTTCGATTTGGAAATCAAATTAATATTTTTTTTTACTTAGGCTGGAAGAAAAGACTATTTTACTTAGGATGGTAAATTGGCTCATAAATAAGTAAAAAAATATGTGCATACATTTTTAGCATTTGAGCCACCATTTTTAGCTATGCCATTTTTATAAATTGATCCAAAGTTAAAAAGGGTTTCCTCACCTCAGTTTGGTTTCCAAAATTCTGAAAATATTATTATAGTTGTTTATCATCAAAATGTTTTCTACAATAAAAATATTCAAAACACTCTGTGACGTGACAATATTTTTTTTATAGTTGATTTCACTGGAATGAGCCATATATATTCTGTATTTCATTTAATCACTTAAATCCTAAAATACTGATAATCTACACATCAGACTACCAATAATTTATATTATTTTCATTCAAATTGTCCCCCCCCCATGTTTATTTTAAACTTGATTTTATTTTAAAGATGCTGGCTGGCCCTACAAAAATTTCATGTTTAATTTTAAATTATGTAAATGTTTTCAAAAGATATTAAAAGTTGCTTTGTTGTCTACTTCAGAGAGAAATATCACAACTAATAAAAACTTAAAGAACACACTTGTATACATTTCATATTGAGAAACATCACATGCTCATATTGAGAAAATCCAAATATTTCTCTTCATGTACCAGTTACACTTTTTGTATTTTAAAGGCACCATTTTAATTGATCGAACAACTGTCCGTGAAAGTGGTAGTTTCAATTTTGGACTTTATCAGGGCATTGAATTTTTATGTAGAAATATACTTATTTTTAAATTAAATATACTTATTTTCTTTTAGATGATGACAAACCAGAAGATGAAATAAGAGCCAAAAAACTCTTTCAACAGTTGCAATATTTGAAAGAAAAAAAGGATAGTAAATTAGGTACAAATCGAGAAGAAGACCCAGATGATCCACTAAATGATATAATGCCATCTCAGCAGTCTTCAATGCCTGCTTTTCCCAGCTTGCAGCATTTATTACCTAGTACAGATAAAAAAGAATCCAATAAAGGTCCTCATGCTCAGAAACAACAAATAAAACTGACATTGCTCAATAAGGTCAATTTACTTTTTATGTATGATTTAATCTATAGGTGCTGCTATGATGATGATCATTTATATGTTTTTGACTCACCAAATTTTACTTTCAAATATACTTACCGCATGATATTAAATATACTTACCTTGCATTTATACTAATCAAATGGTATATAGTGTTGAAACTATTGATTATATTAAATATATAATAATGAATTATTTCAGTTATGATCAATAAGGAATAATAGTGTATTCTGTTTTTAAAAATTTGTTCTATTTATGATTTACATTATTCCATTGAAAACAGAGTATGGTGAATTGAAACGATGTAATTTTTTTTTCTTTTTCGCCAATACCTTTTTTACAAAATAAATGCCTAGTTTTTTTTTATTATTGTAATTTCAAGTTTTAATTTATTCTTCTATATTAACAGATAATAAAAATAGATAATTATTTCTATAACTTTGTTTTCGTGTTATTATTTTTTTAAACCTATATCCAATGACAGGAAATCCAGTCTTTCCGTGTTTTCCTTGATCTTGAATTTGAGATTTATGTAAAACAGTAATCAAGAACGAAATTTTTATGAGTATATATAAAATAATTAAGATTCATTCAGTCCTTTTATTTTGGCAGAAATTTCTATTTGTTTCTACCCACCTCCCTCTTTAAAAAAAAAAAAAAACAATTTGATTCGCTTAATCAATTGTGTTATATTTATTCATGTAAAAATATTTCTACTTGCTATTACATTTTCTTCCATATAATAGTGAACACATTTTTGCCAAAAGTGAAGTGAAGCAAACATTCTAGGCATATCCTTGTATGTTTAGCTGTTAAAATATATCCTTTTTTATTAAAAGTTTATTGGAGATAGATTTTAAAGCATTAAGATTTTAAAGCTTTAAAATATTTAACCAAGAAGTTACAAAAAAGAAGGAATCTTTTCTTAACAAAACCTCGTGATCAAAATTTTGTATATGTCTTAAGACAGGATTTAAATTAATTATTTAATCAGGGATGAGATTCTTCCGCGGATTTCCGCTTTTTTTCAGATTTTTCCATTTTTCCCGCTAATTTCCGCTGAAATTTTTTTTGCCCAAGTTAAAATGTTTTATGAAGAATTTAATTTTCCGCGGAGGGAAATTGTTGAAGTCCCTTTTCCTCCGTCTGAAGTTTCTCTAAAAATCATTTCCTTGGGATAAAACTGGTTCACCTTTATACAGGGATGAGATTTTTTTTGTCTCTCGAATTTCAGCCTTTTTATCAAAAACTCCGATTCTCTAAAAGCTTCGTTTTTTTAAATAAATATCCCGTTTTTTTTTAAAATTCAGTCATTGAAGTAAAATAATTATATTTATTTACGATTTTCAAAGATAAACAGAAAATTCAATCTACGCCCTAGCTGCTAACCCTTCCGCATTTTTACTTATTTTAGCTATTTTCTCCGATTTCACGCACAGAAAATAAGATTTTCCGTATTTTTTATCCGTCGGCTGGATAGCTCGTATTTTCGTAATTCAGATCTCGATTTTTATTCACGCGATTTTAATATCAATCATCGATTTTCGTATTTACCTGATTTAAAAGTTGCACATTGCGATTCTTATTTACGCTATTTAAATATCGTATATTATGATTCTTATTTACGACATTTAAAAATCCAATATCGTGTTTTGTATTTATGCATTTTTAAAATCTCGATTTTATTATCAAATCTCGATTTTCGTATTTACCTGATTTAAAAGTTGAACGTTGCGATTCTTATTCAGGCGATTTAAATATTGTACAGTGCGATTCTTACTTACGAGATTTAAAAAATCAATATCGCGATTTGTATTTACGAGCTTTTAAAGCCCTATGTAGCAATTCGTATTCACGTGAGCTTAAAATCCAATATCATGATTCGTTTTTGTGGTTGTAATATCGCGCGATTTAAAAATTATGCATCGTGATCAAAAAATTAAAAAATCATGATTTGTATTTTCGCATTTTTTAAATTCGATGTAGAGTTTCATATTTACGTGATTTAAAAGTCTCATATCGGAATTTATGTTCACATGGTTTACAAATTTAAAAATCGCACTTTTTTGTCAAATTTTTGTTTATATATATATATATATATAATTTTTTTTTCCTTTTTTTCTTCTTTTTTTCCCTTTTTTTCTTCTTTTTGTTTTTGTTTTTTGGATTTCCTCTTTTATACTTTCTGACTACTCTCATCCCTGTTTAATGAAGCTTTTGAACTGATTAAAAGAAAAAAGATAGTGTTGGATTTAAAAAGGTTTTTGAACTTTAAAGGTAATTTTCATATTTGATTGAAGGTAATTATTTATTACATTTTAAAATAGTGTCTTTACATCATGTTGCTAAATTTAAAAATATTTTTAAATGACCATGCCAAGTTTAGGTTAAGGAAACAATCTTTTGCAGTTAGAACCTAATGAATGACACTTAAAGGGGGAGCTATTTAGTTTATCTTAGTATGTGTGCTGAACAAATGTTATACAGTTAAAAGTGATGAGTAATTGTTAGTTGCAAAATTTTGCCCACTGAAAAAAGTAGTAATTATGATTTTGATTATAATCATCTAAATTTAATTTTGTTTTTATATGTTGAAAAAAATTACAATTATAATTTTAACAATTTTGATTTTGTAAAATGCTTATTATTAATTGAAAGAATTTTGCCTTTTGATTTCTTTTATTTAAAAAAGGAAGTCTCATTTGAAGCATTTAGTTTTGGAAGAAAAAATCTTAAATATTATAAAATCATTGCAGCATAGATACATGATAGATAATAATACATGGATACACAATAATACGACAAAGTTACAATGCATAAAAAAATTATGTAATAAGACAATATTAAAGTTCCTTAATACATTTGGTTTATATTTTAAATGACTTTTTATAACTAATTTTTTATAAATTTAGCTTATATTGTAATGGATTAGGCTAACCAATTGCAAGCAAGTTTAACTCTTTTGTTTCATGAAAATAGGTTTCTAAATTTTATTTAGGCAAAAATATTCATTGCAGCTTTTAATGTGTATTTATGAAGTCTTAAAAAAGAAAAAACTTTTAAATAAAAAATTAAAAATAAAGTAAAATTTCAAAATGCTTCAAGATTTTTTTTTCCCTTCCATTTCATGCATTTTAATTTGTAATTTAAAAGCATATGGTTGACATTTCTTTTGTAACTGCTAAAGTTTATTTAAAAAAATAATTAGTGTGATACCCATCTATTGCTTCTAATAATCATGTGTAAAATTCTATATATTGTGAAATGGCACTTTTCATTTTTAATAATACAAAGTTAAACATTGTTTTTAGTCTTGTTACTTAATATTTTTTTAGCACTTAAGCCCTTTCAAATTCAAAAAATATAGCTTATGTTAAAACAGTTAATATTGTTTAATTTGATTATATCATGATAAGTTATGAGACTGTAATTGAATGCAATAGCTAAAATTAATTTATATTTTTAGAGCCAAACAAATAAGTTTGCCAGCCTTCAGAAGGATGTTGACCCTGCAAAACCCAAACAATTAAATGGTAATTTTATTATTTATTTTATTGCATTTTTGCAAGTGTATTTAAATCTGGTACTATTGTCACTGAAAGAAAATTAGTCATAGGCTTAGAGATTGGGCAGCTCCAAAGAGCCTATCGACCAGAGTACCCAAACCCTAAATCATGAATAACTAGAAAGCTTTATAGCTGAAATAAAGTTCAGAAAGCACCTAATAGGAATATTTTGCAATTCTCAGGCCTTAATGCAATGTTGCCCTTAATGCTTAAATCGTTGAGCAGAATAGACCTCACAATCATAAAGTATATGTCATGAAATTTCATTGACAATCAGATACAACATCCATTATTTATAGGTGTTTCCTGAGGGTGCAAGGCAAACTGACTAAATAAGGAAATAAGCATTAATTAATATAAGTAACGAAAAAAAATAAAAACAAAAAAGTAATATAATCTAATATTTCGGAAGAAAAACGCTAGCACTGCAAAGTCATTACCTAATCTAGAACAATTTGTTGAAGCTATATTAAATTCAATTGATGAAATTATTAAATGTCTTGCTACAAAAGTTAAATGAAAAAGTAAAGCAATCGATATTATATAAATATGCTTTCATTACTTAATAAAGATTATCTGAGAACAATTAATGTAATTTTTTGTATGGTGGGAACTGATTATCCGGAATGATTGGGACCATCGCTATTCCAGATAACTGATTTTTCCGGTTTTCTGAATCGCTACAAAAAACAGTTTTTTTTAATTGTTAAACCCAACTAAAAAAAAAAAAAAATATTTGGAAATAATCTTAAAAAAAAGAAAANATTATTAAGATTTGTAATACACTAATGATTATTTCCAAAATGATGGTAAGGTAAACATCTTTCAAAAAAGAAAGAAAAATCTTATGAGTAAAAAAACATTTTTTTAAAAAAAAAATGGCGGTAAAATTTATCGAATTTCGTCCAAATTTCTGATTTCCGGATAACGGGTTCTGTACTGTACTTACCTTGAGATTAGATTTTACGAGTGATTGAAATTCAGCTTGCATTTTCTCCTCTCCCGAGCTTCTCGTTAAATATGGGTCCTGCCTAAATGGGTTTATTATTATGGGATAATAAACCCAAAATGGGTTTATTATTATGGGATAAGAATTATTTTGGTTATTATTATTTTTTTTTACGTTGTTAAACTTTTGAACTTAAAAAATTTAGAAATATTTTGGAAACAGCTTTTTAAAAGCAGTTTCTAAAATATTTTGAAAATTGTTTCACAATGCTAAGTTACTATAAGCTAAGTTTAAACATGCATATAATTATTATGTTATTAATAATTTATAATATGTTATTAATTATTCTTTATCTTGAAACAATGCTTTGCCTTCTTACAGCAAACATGGATCCTATTGCCTCTTGGGCATGGTTTTTGTTTACTTGTAGACAGCAAACTTCTTGTCATGTCTCCAAATTTCAGTACATTTATTTGTATTAATTAACGTACACTTAATTTTTTCCAGACGAATCAAAGTTTAGTGGTGGATTTCATCCTGGTACCAAGAGACCATTATCTCCACCTTCTCCTACAGCGCCTGCACCATCTGCTGCTCCTAAAAAGTCTGCTAGCTCACGTAGGGATGAACTATTGAAACAATTAAAAGCAGTAGAAGATGCTATAGCAAGAAAGAGAGCAAAATTTTGCTGAAATACACTATACATAACTAATTTGTATGAAGAAAAAAAAATGAATTACTGCACTATTTATGTGAGCATGTACTTCTTATTTTACTTCAAGCCAATCAATTGCTAAGCTGTAGTTTGGTGGATTACGTTTGTCAGAGCTGTAAAAAATTATCCTTATTTTTATTTTAATTTCATGAAACAAATTGGATATCAGTTAAGTTTATTGCCAATTAACCAAAGGGAAATCTGGACACTGTTATTGTTTTGTTTTTTTTATAAAGTTAACTAAAAGACTTGTGCCCTTTAGATTCATATTGTAAGACTAAAATTATTAATTGTTGGGCAATTACATCATTTTAAATCTATTAACAGACTTTAAAATATGAAAAAAATATAAATGTTATTTTCATCATTTCTATTTCTTTTTATTATTATGAAATGTTTTATGGGGACATGTAAAATTAGTAGCAACAAGATAAAGTATCTTTTCCTAAAATTTTTTTCTTTTATTCACATTTCTTTGCTTTATTTTAATACAATTGAATTTAGATTTATTTTTTTTTAATTTGTATATTTTATTCAAATTATTTTAACTTTAAATTTTTTTATCTCCTTATAAAGAACATTAAATGGAAAATAAGCACTGTAATATTAATTTATTTATGGTTACAATATAACTCATAGCATTTATCACAAATCTAGCTTTAATTTTTTATACCAGCTTCTTAATTTATTTTTAAATTTGAAATCTTGGTTTTACTTTTAAAAACTCCAGTAATTTAGACTTTTTACAACCAAATGCTTACCAGAAGTCTTGTGCTAAAAGAATCTTTCACCTTCAAAGTCGCATTTTAGATTAATTAAATGATTACTTTATTTATGAATATATGTACGAAATTAGATTTTTTTAGTTTAATTTTGTGTCCCAAAGTTATTTTATGTTTCAGTGTTGGAAAAACATAGTCACAATATTTTTTTTTTCTTTTTCAGTACCTAATTACATGAAGTATACTGTCTCATTATCAAAAATGGTTAAGTTGGTTTTGAGTATTAATACTTAAGTTCTAAAGAAAATAGTATACATCAATTAGTATATGTATACATTAAATTGTGTTATGTTTGCATGTTTGAGATACTCCTTGTTTTTTTTCTGTACATATTTTCAAAATGTTATGCAAGGAATTGAATCGTATCATTTAGAATAAGTTGATAAGAAACAATTCAAATTAAGGCATTTGAAGCTTTATTTCTTTATATATTGTAGAGCAAGACTAAGGATTGAAGGCTATCCTTATTATTATTAGTTCTTACTTTTTGGTTGTAGCAAGTAGGATACTTTTTTAACAGTAATGCATATTTGCTGAATAAACCTAATTTGCTTTTTTTTTATAACTGCTCATAAATATTATTTTATTTTGAAAGTTTCTAATTATAGATACAACTTTTTTTTAACACTTGTGAAATTTTTACTCGGCCCTATTGTGGCAAATAGTCCAAGTTTGTTTTCTCCCCTCAATTCTTGTACATAAAAGAATTATAGCATAAATTTTACACATTGTTCTTGATTTGTAGATTTTTTGGTCATAATCACTTGTACATAAATTGTCTTCAAATATGAGAAAACTTAAACTCTAAATGTACATGCCTAAATGTGATAGTTAGTTAAAAATGCAATAGGCACAGTTAATTTAATGATAACCATATTGTCAACTGATCCATTGGTCATTTTCCCAATGCTCTTTGGAATTGTTGGTGTGATTAATAATAATTACCAATAATTCAAAAACTTTGGATTACTATGTAGAGTAATTTATTTTCATTGTATTTCAAATTGAAAGTTGCTGTATTTCTTCATTTACCAGTACTTTTTCATGTTTATATTTCATCTATGTTTTGTTTAGTACTTTTTTATTTTATGCTATAAATAATTGTTAGGAAATAAATAAAATAGTATTAAAATGTTTCACATTTGACAAAAGTTTATTTTGCTGAACTGGTGAAAGGAAGTGATTGAAACATTGTATTCTTTCAACCCATGTGTTCAATATCAAATATCATTGTATGCAATGTTAATAATAATGTTTGTATAAATTAAACTTTTTGATAATAATGTAAAAAAAAAATTTCAAACTAAACATTCAAATAAATCTCTTCATGACTTTTATAACTCGATTTTTGTGTATATAAATTTTTGTTTCATTAAAATGATCAAGACTAATTAAGAAACAAAATGCTTGGTGCTCTTAGTGTTTCAAAATAAGTTTATGGAAACCTATTGTGTACATTCAATAAAGTAAATCAGTTTTTTTTTTAAAAAGAAATTATTTTAATCTTCTAGATGTTGTGCTCTTCATTCATTTTTTTTTTTATATCTATCGTCAAATATATTTAATGTGCATCAGATCAAAAAAGTTATTTCAGAAATTTTTCTAAACGTGTCTTCCAGCTTCTAAGTTTTGTGCGAAATATATTTATCAGCATGAGCAAATTAAAAGCAGCATTTTTAAAACTAGTAAAATTCTTATAAAATCATTATCAAGACTACTCAGCAGCCGTTCTCAGCTATGGAACTCTTAAGTGGTCGACCTTATGTCTGGAGTGGCATCTGGTCTTGTTTATTATTTGATTTTAGTGTATGCATAAACTAAAAATGAATGAGCTGAAATAGGTTTATCTTTAGAATAAAAACGAAAATTGGCGAAAATAAATGTTAAAAATGGTTTTCCGCAAAACGTTCTTTATTTTTATTTGAGACGAGGTACTGTTGCAATTTTCCATAAATGCATTCATTGTTCTTTCTATATATTGTTTCTAGAAAATACATTTTTTTAAATTTTGCTTTTCTTTCGTCTCATGCTCTTCAGTAATTTTATAAAAATAATGGAAGTTTTAAATAAATGAGGTATAATTAATTAGATTATAAGTTTAAGGAGAAATTTGGAAAATCGTAACTGATTAAAAATGTTCTAACTCGTAGAATCCCGGTAGTCCTTCCAAGGAACCTAACACCATTTGGGAAGTGCTGCTATAGAGCATTTCTCCAACTAACGTTTAATATATTTATTTGAATAGCTTATCTGTGGCTGCGAATAAATTTCTTTCATTTCTGTTTATTAAAATACAAATTCATTGCTTTTGGTACCCTTGGAAAAAATATTTTGTGACACTACGAAAATTCTGTAGTAGTTCCATTGTATGGTTCCGTATTACCTAACTGGACCCTATCTCGTAGCCTCACTCTCAGGAGTAAGGTGATGATTAACTTCAAAATCTTAACTAAGAAACTTCATTTTTTGTTGCAGATTTTGATTATCCCAAAAAGTACCTTAATTAGACTTGCAAGGTTTTGCATTCTGGTTTACAAATGACACTGCAATCGTAAAATGGGTTACAAACTGTCTAAAATACTGGTATCTTAGAAATGTACGTCAGACTAAAAGAAAATAAATGTGATATATGCGTATAATATTTTGAATAATCCTATCTAATGACATTGAACTTATATCCCTGCTCCATCCCTACAGCTGGGGTGAATCGCAATGCGTGGGGCTGAGTTTGAGGTAGGAAAGGAGTCATTGGATAAGTTTCTTTTTACCAAAAAGTCAAACACCTCTATTTTTATTTTTTCGATCTAACATGTATTTCACGATATGCGGATATCTATTTTAAACCGTATTTGCTGACCATTGTTATTTTGCAATATAATGCTATCTGTAAACCAGCATGAAAGAACCTGTAAGCCAAATCTGGATGATTTTTTTTTCCCTCGGAGAATCCAAATCTCTAACAAAATAATGTGGGACACTATTTCAAAATTGGTGTTGAGTTTAATATTCTTCAAGGCTTTTTTTTGGAAATGTTTCAAACATGTATCCCTATGAGACATCTTATTCAAATATTTAGTTCTGGAAATGCGTGTATTTTGTCAGTTACCTAATATTTGAGCTGAAATAACTGTTTAGGCTCGACATATTTTTTTGAGCAGAATTTTACATTTGGGAAACCTTGGTAAAATAGACATCTTTGGGTAAGAGGAATGTTCGCTTAGTAGAAGGACATGAAAATTCAGAAATTTAAAGCTGGAAATTATTTTAACTAAATTAATTTGATTATTAAATAAATACGAAATCAGAAGCAAGGAATTATACTGATATATTTTTAAAATTAATGGAATCACATATTCAAGGATAACGAAGGAAAATGCTATATTGTCTCATAAATTAGATAAGCGGGGGATTGCTTAAGGCAAAAGAACGCAGAGTAATAATCTCAACTTGAGATTCAAAAGAAATGAATGTTACATGAACTTATGTACAGTTGAACTTCCTGGAACAGAGCATTCCAGAATCAGAAATTGAATAATTAACGAAAGAACGAGAAGAAATTATAATGTTTTTTTTTCAACAAAAACCTCTCCCAGATCCAACAAACCCTCTCTGGGACAAATCCCAACCTTTGGTTTCGTAGCCCGATGCTTAACCACGGAGCCAACGGCTCTACCTAGAAAGATCTATGTATTGTGCTGACTGCAATCTTGTTTGGCTTCTTTTAAATAGTCTCGAAATTTTCTTTCTTCTGTCATCTAACTACTCCTCTGGGTAATAATAAAGTTTAAGTCTCGAGACGTGGACTATGTCTTTTAAATTTCGTCGTCTATGCCCTTTCCATTTCATACGTTATATCTATGTCAGATAGTCGTCGAGTTATTCTATAAGACCTGAAATAACATCTTAAAAGTTTTTCAGAGAGCCCAACTTTTCGTACTGGAGTAAAAACCCAAACTAAATCTCCGATATTGTAGGTGATTAGTCTATGACGTTTATCTGTTGTTTTAGCGTCAAGTATATGGAGCTTTGCAAGTTGTCTAGCTTCGTCAGCCCTGGTGAGAAAGTGTTGCACATAGTTATCTTAGTCCCCTTTTTCGTTAGGAAAAATTGTGTCGAGAGGTGTTCGTATTTTTCTGCCTTGAAGAGAGAAGGGACTATTAAGATTGACACTTAGTACGTAAAAATCCAACGATTCGAACGAAAGTTATTCTGAGTGATGTCTCTTTTATTTTGCTCATTGTACACCTGTAGTTAATACTTTTAAAAAATCTCAGAGCAATTTGTTTCACAGTTTTAATAATTAATATAATATGGGTGCAAAACTAGTATGTCAAAGTTTTAATTAGGTTGATCTAAAAAAATTACTATTTTTTTTTTCAATAAAATTTTAATCGTGGAACATTTATTCATTTTCGAATGCATAAAACTTCCCGAAATTGTCATCTGTCTAGCAAAACATCAGGAATGATTTGATTGAATGAAAGAAAAAAAAGAAATAAAGTGTTCCCATTACCAGTTTCTTTTTTTAATTTATTGAGCATAAATTAATGTGTCACTTATTTATCATTGAAATTTAGAATGAAAAATCACATGCCCACAGATATTTTAATAATTTTTAGTTGAATTGTAATAGCTTTAAAAAATTGAACCAGATTTCAAAATTATTTATACCAATTAAATTTTAAATTATCGTGGATAGTGTCAATTGATGTGTTTATGAAAAATTGCTGAATACGAAAAAAAAAAAATTAAGGGAACATTGTAAATTGCTTCAAAAATTTTGATTTTGCTCCAACGCATACTCTTTAACTACTACAAAATTTTCATAGTTTCAAAAAATATATATATTTTTCGTGATGACGGCAAAGGTAATGTTTTATTGTTAGGATATAAAGATTTTATAAAATATAAATTAGAAATAAAAAAGCTTGTCCACCGTAACGCATAAATAATTGGAACAGATACATTAAGGGCTATGTTCCATGTTCTGATAGAAATTCTATTAGTTTTTAAAAAATTCTACTTTAGTTCGCTACAACTGAAAAAGTACTTCGGGTGTGTGTCAAATGCTTAAGGGTTGCCAACTATTCCACTTCCCGGAAAAGATTTTACAAAGTGCTTGACAACTGAAACTTGTAGAATTATGGTTAATTTTATCAACATTTAAAAAGGCTTTCCGGAATAAAGAGACTTAGTGTATGAAATTGTGAGTTATGTATTATGTACCGGTGTGAAAAATAACTTGCAATCAAATTTAATAACCTAGAACTGAGAGGCCAACTTGCTCCGCTTTGTAAAAAAAAAATATTTTCCAGTGGTAACGAAATTTAAGTTATTTTTCATTTTATCATATGAAATGCAACTTCATTGGAGTTATCTCAACAGCAACCAAAAAGTCAACTGACCACAATGTGTTACCATAAATTTTAAAAAAGCTCTCGATGGGTAAGAGAAGGACAGCTTAGTTTCAAAACAATACTATAGTTTGTCTAAAGTAAGAACTCCCCTAGCCATTCGTCTGGCATGATGACGGTGACTATGGTAGCGAGGTATAACTATTTCAAGTAGGGATGTGGAGTCACTGTTTAGGACAGGTTTTGGATCGGGTCTGCGAGAGAAAGGGAATCTTTTTGTTCGGTCTATTGTGATAGCCTTAGAGTGAAGAGAAGCTACCCTCCCTGAAATGAGCTTTTCTTGTTTCCATAACAGCAGATAGCCTCAGATTTTGCAGCGGGGGAGTTCTTACCGTAGACAAACTATAGGACTATTGCAGTTATCTCCTTTCGACACTTTTATAGAGTGGGCGTAATTATCCTTATTCTTCCAAGTTTTACTATTTAATTCACTACCAATATATTAAAACTTTTCCAGACAGTGGAGCAGTCGGCATGCCTACAAGAATCATATATTGGAAACATAAATTTAACTACCACTAGGAAAAATGTTTCCACTAAGCAAAGCGAGTTGGCATATCTGATGCTAAGATGAATGTCTGAAGTTTGTCTTTTCCACCGCAGGAAGCTTTAGTCGCCATCATGGTGCCATGCGTGAAAGCGAGACGGAAAAGCTGGTAGTTAAACCATTTCAGTTTCACCTTGTTTTCGGGAGGAGCGAATCTGTTCTCTTTGTCAAAACTATTCAACAATGTTTACTTTTTCTCAGGAAAGAAGCAGTTTTATATATATCCTATATAATTGTAAAAAAAATCTGGGTAGTTACAGAAATTTAATGTTTCTCGAAAGAAAAAAAAATGCTAGAATGAAATGCATTTCGTTCCAGTTTTTGCTCTTTACCGTCTTAGTATATATAGGCTTTCAGTCCTGCATGGTACGGAGGCATCCGATACGAGTGGTAATAACCAGGACGGTCGAGCAACACCTCCTAGAAAGAACAGACCTCCGCACGGGTTACCATAAATATCCTTGAGTAGTCCAAACGTAATGACATATTTTGTATTTTCAACCACTGCACATCTTAGTACTCCAAACGTAATGACATCTTTCTTATTTTTCGTCTACTGCGCAGTTAAATTCGTCACATCGGACTACTAAATTGATCCGTGCTGAAACCTTTCTACTTCTAGGAGGTGTTAGGTCGAGTCCCTACTTTAACAGAGGTAGCTTTTTTGTTAATGAAGTTTTTTATGATCTTAGCATTATGAATATTTGTTAATTCTTCCCATTTTTTGTAAATATTTTACCTTCTTGTAATTTTCGTTTCCCTTCTTTTAAATATGTCTTGTACTTTTCTATACATTCAATTATTTGTTACTTATTACCATGGCAAAGTGTCATTCTTTTTTCTCTACCTTAACATGTGGCATTATTTGTTGCATTTTATGTAATATGTCTAGTGTTTTTGCTTATGTTCTCATTACAGGATGAATGGAAAAAGGGCCAATAATTATTGGCCTCAGGAGCCCAGCTAGACCAAACAGATCAGACCAGACCATGGTTCTGAGATAAGTAAAGTTGCGACTGCACGAATATATATTTTGAAGAGGTAAAACAATTAAAAAGTTCTAACTTATTTGTATAAAAATATTTTTTTTTTTTCATTTTTAATTAACTATGTTTGGATGCAAAGGGGAGGGAGGAAACAGGAAGTTGTGAGTAATATTGAAAGTGAAGGCAAAGTTAAAACAGTTTTTAGTAGCTTTAAGAAACCTTAGTTACCACTCATTTATTTTTTCCAAGTCATTGAAACCCTAACAAGACAGAAAAGTTTAAAATCATTTACAATTTCACAAGATGAACTGCATCACTCCGCACTGTAAAACTCCTTCGGGGGGGGGGGGGGGGNGGGGGGGGGGGGGTGAGAGTGATGCAGGGATTCAAAAGGAACGTATGATAGCATACTTTCGCAATTCTATGTATGTAAATAATTTTTATATTTTCTTGTAAATAAATTTTTCTTTGTTCTTTATTAAAGTGCGTGTCATTTTTTGTTCATTGTCATTTTTTTATATTGTATCTTTCACGTATGTTATTTGATCCAGTTTTCCTTATTTTCAAATTCTATGAAAGAGCAGATAGCCATACGGGCCTGAGTACTTTGAAATTTATGTTTAAATTGGTAGAAATTTAAATTACTATCGAAACAAAAAAAGAAAAATTAATGTTGCTCAAGTTATCTCTTTTTTGTCTTCCTTTTTTATTTATTTTTTAGGAACTTCTTTTTTTTTTTTTAACTGAAATAGACTAAAAATAAGCCGATACCATGAATAGTTTAGGTTAGGGTTATAAATTATATATCATTTCTATCCAACATGGCGTTTGCAGAACTGAGATGGGCACAGTAGGCCCTCTATGGGCTGTCGCTCTACTGAGTTTAGTTTTTAATGAGTAAATAGACTTATCTCGCATTCACACGCCTCACATTCTTATCTAACAAGACAGTTTAAGTATTGTTTTCTAATTACATTGATAAATAAATAAACGGATCATTCGTATAACCTTTGTTTTATGGCCATATCTCTAAGGATTGTCTTCAAACATGAATAAAAATTAACTCTGACTGTCACGAAAGGCACTAATTTTGACTTCAAAATGCACTTTTTCTGATGAAATATAACTTTTTTAAAAATAACTTTGGACTTATAACTCCCAAAACAGGTGAAAATTGTAATAATGATTTTTATAGTATAACCGCTATAAAAGTTGGTATTCTAATGATATTTTAATGTATCACATTTGTCTTCATGTGTTTTGAAAGAATTATTAAATTAAAATAATTCTTTCCCAGGTAGTTAGTTATATGCCCTCCATCCAAAGCAACGTAATGAGGAATTAAGGTAGAATCATGTAATATTTATTACAAATTTGTTAAAGATTGAAAAATTTTGCAATCAAAAGGTGTGGGCCGTGGTGGCTCACGGGATAGTGCTTTCGCCTTCCATTGAGTTGAACCGGGTTCGAATCCCAGCGATGGCAGATTGCTACGAATTCCGCCCCCGGCTCGCACCGACACAGTGCTGTCTTAAAATATCCTCAGTGATAGACGGATCATAGGTTAGAGTCCCTTTGCCGTCAGGCTAACCGTGGGAGGTTCTCGTGGTCTTCCTCACCATGGAGCGCAAATGCGGGTTAATTCCATCAAAAAGCCCTCCACGAAGGCAAAATTTCGCCCAATACTTGATCCAGGAGTTCCTTTGTCTTCTGGATTGGGTTCAAAATTACAAGACTACGGAGATGAACATTAGTAGTCGTAAACCCAAAAATTGGGTCGGCTGTTCAACACGTGGTTGGTTGGGCACTGGGCCCATATCCAAGAGGTCGTGGTTTCGATCCTCGCCGGCCGAAGACTCCCCGTGTAGTAAATGGTGAATGATGCACGTTAAATCTGTCGAGTCACAAAGTTCTTCATGTTCCCATAACAAATCATACATCTGGGGGTACTGATCTAGGAGTTTCCTTGTCTTCTGGATTGGTTCAAAATTACAAAGCTACGGAGTTGAACATTAGCTGTCGTAAACCCAAAACTAGGTCAGCTGTTCAACGACAGTTATGAAATAAAATACTTGATCCAGGAGTTCCCTTGTCTTCTGGATTCGGTTCAAAATTACAAGGCTGCGGCGTTGAACAATGGTAGTCGTATACCCAAAAATTGGGTAGGCTGTTTAGCGACGTTTATAAAATAAAATATAAAATAAAATCAAAAGGTGTAAAAATTCTTAAATAATCGAGATTTTTTTTCTTTTTTTAGGATACCACTTTGATGTTTAGAAGTCTGGTATAATTATGTAGATATATTTTATTTGAAAAATGACGTATAGAGTTATTTACAAATGAAGCATTAAATGATCGAGGCTCGTTTTTTTTTCTCTCATTAAAATTTTTTAGACCCTTGGAAACTCTGCATATAAAATTTTTTAGAAACCTTTGGAAACTCTGCATATAAAAATTGAATAGATTTATTTCATTTTTAGAGAACTCTGAAAGAATTATTTTTCGTGAAATTTATTATTATTATTATTCAAAATTAGAAGTTTTCGAAAAATTTGCTGAAGTAAACAGTGCTTTGCCATCGAAATTAAAGTAAGGTTCATCCTCTTAATAAAAATCTTTCAAGAAATGATAACAAATTTAATTTTGAAAAAGAGTTTTCATATTTTCAAAAATGGAAAAGAAATATGCAATATAATATGAGAATTTAGATGTGGATTGATAGCTTTAGAGTTTTTAATTTCCGGACATTGGAACTACAATATTCCTTTTCATTCATTTCCCAGATCCTATTATCGCCTCATTCGCTTCCTCTTCCCCCCCCCCTCATTCTGTCATCTTAAAATCAATTTCTCAAACCATGCCAAGTATATTCGCCAACTGAGAGACACGACAAAAACGAAGAAAAAAAAAACACGTGAATTAAGTTATGGAGACCGACAAAGCACACCCACACTCAATCCGGACAAAGTAAAAATAAAAGACCAAAAATTATCGCTACTCAGTCATTTGACGGACGGATGGGAGAATCAGAACAACGCGAACGTTCGAAAGGAGAAGAACGAACGTTTTACGTCCGGCCATGTATGGCATGCTCTTAGAAAGCATCCAGCACTTTGTCCAGGAGGAATATGGTGAAGATGTTTGGAGCAAAGTTCTGGAAGAATCTGGCTTTAGGAATGCCGTGTTTACTACTCATCAAGTCTATCCGGACAGGCTAATTCCATGTCTTGCACAAGCTTGTAGCAAGCACTCCTTGCAAACAAATGACGATTTCTTGTGCTTTTTTGGCCGGTGTTTTGTTCGATTTTTCACACATTATGGATATGACACTCTCATCAGGGCTTCCGGACGGTATTTCAGAGACTTTCTCAATGGCATTGATAACCTACACCACCAGATTAGGTTCAGCTACCCTAAAATGCAGAGTCCGTCGTTCTATGTTGAGAGAGAAGATGTTGGAGGTGCTAGATTGCATTACAGATCAAAGCGGTGTGGATTTGGATATTATGTGATTGGGCAGTTGATACAAATTGCTCAAGAATTTTATGGACTTGAGTTAGAGGCAACTATTTTGACAGATGAAGAAGATGCTAGTGGATCATCTGGGTGTCACTTGATCTATGACCTCAGGTAAGAAACTTTAATAAACTTCTTTGTGAAAGTTTAAAGTCAAAGAATTATGTTTAAGGGTTTTTTCTCTTTCTTTTAACCATCTCTTGAAACGTCGTAAATGTTTTGTTTTTTGAAAATGTGTGTCTGCTTGAAAATATAAATAGAAATTAGAATGTTTTAATGCTTGTATTTTACAATTTTCGATAATTGGCAACCCTCTGATGTATTTATAGAAAAACAAATGAAATAAAAGCAATTAATTAAAAATACTGACTGGACAAATAGAAGTTTAAAGTACTAATTAATAATCATCTATCACAGACTGATCAATGAGAAAATGGAAGGCTAAGCCGCAACTAAATATTTAGTAATTTAAACATCTGCTTATCTGAACAGTATTTTGAATTTTTCGCCTTTATTTAATTTTGTTTCTTTTATTAGTGCTTGTCAATTTGCTGCTTCCCGCTAAAGACACTATCTACTTGTAGCAATAGCTATAAAAATTAACCAAAAACATTTACAAAATTGTTATTAATATAAATTATCAGAGCCTCATCTAGAAATGGTGGTGCCCTAAGCATAGAGCTGTCCGGGAACCCCCTGGTCATAACTTTAAACCAAATTTACTTGCTGCTTATTAATGAAGTACCTTTAAATTAATTATAACAGGAATAAATTACGATACATAAGTAAAGTTAAACTTTTATTTAGTACAATTTTTGTTATCTCATAATTCAATTAGACAATTAAGAAAAAACACAAAAAGAAATTATTTCAGAAAAATTATTGTAAAAGAAATTATTAAAAGATATCATTTAGAGAAACCTAGGCCTGGATCTCACAGGTTTTATGATAAATCAGACATTGTAAACTATAGAATTACTGTGCTTTGCTATTATGCATTAAGGCATTCACTTGTTGCATGTTGACAAAATTCGGTATCTTACTTTTAATTTTTATATTAAACATTTTATTTTATTTCAAGTTCAATAACAAGGTTTCACGAATTTAATAAAGGTAATAAATTCAAGTTAATACTAGAATGCAAAAATTTCCTTTCTAAAGATGCCTCTTTAATGTTATAGTTCTCCTATAGAATTTAAAAAAAATTGTGATCAATAGATTTAAAAATAAAAGTAATGATCCAAATAGATTTAATGATAGAAGTTTTTTTTTTTTTCGTTACCATAGTTAAAATTTTCCGAGATCTGTTGGAACTCTGCATACTCTTAACCCGTTGATGCACAGTTTTTATTAAGCATATTTTTCATACTTTTTATTATTTATTTTGTCATAATTTTGGTCAAAATAAGTAAAAAGTATTATCTTTAGTATTTTAATAATTTACAGTGATGAAATACAGCATGAAACATCGGTGTCGATTTTCTGCATTAATGGTAAAATCCTTCAAACACAGGTCACTTCCAAACTATAATTTTTCAAAAAAACAGTTTTTCAAATCTAAGTAAAACGGTTTTTTATCATTGAATTTTCTTTAAGTTACAAATTCAATTATTGATAAATTTGTGAATATTAATGGAAAAAAAATTCTGACTACTTTTTTGGATTTTATATTTTAGTACAAATATTATTCCTGTAATCTAAATGATTATTTTCAGTAACTATTAGACGTGATTTTTAATATTAAAATATACTAAAATATATTCTTACTTGTAATTAGAAGATCAGTAAAAAATATATATATATAAAAGGGACGCCGTTGTCCCATATGCGCCAAGGGGTTAGCAGGTGAGTGAAAATCAATAATATTGATGAAGATCAACTTAATCAAATTTAATGTTCAAAACATTGCTCTTTAAAGTACAAAAAAAGTCTTCAGTGTATAAAATTTTGCTACCATTGTAAAATTTCTTTCACAAAAATTACTAAAAAATTAAGGATATGTAACCTCTTTATCACGGGACGTATTCCATCTGCTGGAAATCTTCTATTGTTAGCCCATGTGTCCTTTCTAGAGTTAAAAAATAGAACCTAAGATTTTCATTCCTAAAAGCGACATTTTTGCATCAAATGCTCCTTAATATCGTTTTCCTCATAAGAATTTTGATAATTTCCGGAGCTGAATTTCGACTATATAACAACAAAATACACAAAAACAATTTTTGCTTATTAATTTATGGCCCTAAACATTTCATTGTATGATGTATCGTGATGTTCTGCTCCAAAAACATTCTGCTAAACAACTTGAAAATATGGCTTATCGTCATATTGCCTTCAGATCCTACAAATAAAGATTCTATCGAAAAAAAAAATCTGCAAAAGAGAAGAAAAATGTTAGTAAGCTTATAAATATGCAATTGTTCTTGAAATTTTACAGTGTACCGACGAAAGGGAACGTAACCGTATGCAAAATAAAAATCAAAACACCTGTTGAACTTTTGATCTAAAATGATAGAATTTACACCTATTAACACAGAATCATAATGATTCTTACGTGACACCTAAAATATGATAAATATTTAACACGTTCACGCCGGGAAAAAAGGGAAAATATTGGTACGAGAAAAGAGAAAATACTGGTAGAAGAACTATTTCAATATTAGATATTCAGGAGGAGTTAATCTATTCTCAACAATAACAATTCACTGTAAGGAAATTTATCATGGCGAAGAAGCAGTTCAATATAAAAATTGCATCTGTTAAAAACAATTGGTAGTTATGGATTTTTATTATTCCCGGAAAAAAACTAAAAAATGAAATTTATTGTTACCAGTTTTTACTCCGGTGCGCTGCCAAGATGAGACACTCTAGCGTGACCCACCGGTGGGTCACCCCGGCGTGAACGTGTTAATACAAATGACATTTTAAATACAAATGACGAAATCAGACTCAAGACGATTCATTAAATTCTTTATTATTATTGCTATTGTTCTTATGATGGTTACATACATGGATCTAGTAGTTTAACCAGAACTACGACTGAAAGTTAAAAGATCCTTAATTTTAATTTTACCTTTAGCATATTTCGCTGTCTTCAAAATTATTTCAGCAAATTGCGCAGAATTATAAAACTCACTTTCCAAAAAAAAAATATTATAATTTAAATTTATTTATTTCAAAATTGATCGAAATATTTTTGATTTTTAAAGCGTATTTTTCCTTAAAAAATGTTTAAATTCTGTAGTTTTAAATGACAAAATTTTATAAAAATCACATAGTTGTATATTATAACGTTGTATACGAATTTAAGAAAATTAATTACGAATTTAAGAAAATTGTTTTTATTATTATTATTAGAATAATGTAATTCTACGTTACATTTTCAGCAACAGTAAATAAAAATTATGCAGAAATTTAATATCTCCAGAAATGTTTATGAAAATCTCAAAATAACTCAAAATCTACATTAGCAACCTAAATTAAAGGTTGTATTGAAAATATGCAGTTCTCTTTATGAAAATTAAGGTAATCCTACAAATTACAAGAGATCTAAATACCTTTTTTACAATACCTTATAATTTTTCTTTACCGTTACATTGCATTCTAAACTTTCCTTAACTTGAAAACTAAATTGATTTTAAATTATGGCTTTGAAAAAAGTTAAGTTTTAATTTTTAATGCCTCCCCTCCCTATAAAAGGGAACTTTCGGCCTTTATCAGAAAATCTAAATATTTTTCAACTTAACAAAAAGATTTTTAGGTAAATTTGTAACCGCAGTGACTACTTTTTATCGATTAGAACTTAAATATAATTAAGAGTTTTTTTTTTTAAATTATTAACAATGAAACACATGCTTCCCACAGTTCTTAGAAAAAGTTAATAGTGACAACGTAAATGAAACAAACCTGATCATTTAATATATTTATACTCACTATTGTTAATTTCTTAAAAACAATCTGTATGAGAATCTGTATGTAGTAGAGGCAATATATGTCCTATAAAAATTAGAATGCGGTAGACAATTTTATTTTAACCGGTTAACGCCCAGCGTCATATATTTAGGACAGTTCCTTTTTTCAAAGACATTCATTGTGGTGGGAAACTTTTTTCAGTATTTTCATTTATCTGGGTGAATTAAAGGATTCTCAGATACCACAACGATTTAGTTATTTCTGATTAGATCTAGAATTATAAGGAACAAGTACTTTTCGAATGGGATAGGGGCCGCTAAGAGGCCTAGGTGCCCAATTTTTGTAAATAAAAGTAAAGTAAGTACTTTTTGATCTATCAAAGACTTTTTGAATGCTCTAACTGTAACAAAACCAATTAATTTCGAAAATATATTACACCACTTTTTCCATAAAACCACTTTTTGTATGATTTCAATTTATAAATTCGGAACAAAACGGGTTCAACTAACAAACAAATGTTTCGAATTTGATTTGAAGATCACAAAATATTTTAATAATTATTTATCATTTTTAAGTATTTTAATTATTACTCTAAAAAAACAGAGCGTTCAGTTTTATAACTAAATATTATTTCTTAGATTGTTTTAAAAAGCCGTGATTGCTAAAAGAATCTCGTATTATGCAAAAATAAGCAGAAAATGCTATAATTTCCTACCAAAGCATGCATACGAATGCTTAAAAGTTTCCCAGAAAACGCTACAGTAATATTTTTTTTTTAAAAATGAAAGACGAAAAAAAAAGAAATTTCCTGTTAACAATAATGTATATTTACTGTCACTATTAATTTCTTCTAAGACCCATTTAATCCCTCAAAAAAAAAAAAAAAATGAATATTAAGTGGTAATAAGATTCATAAATTTAGTGATTCGCATTGATGTCAAACACAAGAACGGTAGAACGGTAAAAATCACATAAATCTCGGTGCGCTGCCGTGAAACGGCATTAACCGATTCGTCGGTAGTAATAAATCGATGATGAGGAGGAATGGAGATGGGAGGAAGAGGGGGTGCTCAGCACCAAAAAATCGAGAGGGGGTTCGTGTGACATGGACAATCATGAAATGTAGAGTGGTATGGGGTATAATAAAACGACAATATAATTCAAACACAAGAGCGAGGTATATAACTAAATATTATTTTAGATTG